ATTGCCAGGTATTGCAATTACCGGCAGCCGCCAAGGTACGACCGATCACCGAGATATAACTGTTCTGGCTTTACCAAGCACGTCCACCACACTGTTACGTCTACGAGAGAGGTTTATTCAGAGCCGACGTAACGGTCGACTCGACGGTATACAGTGAACGCTTGCTTGCTTGCTTGATCCTTTCTTTTGTCGCTCTCGCCCACTAAGGGGGATTGGCCAAGAAGCTGGTGGTTAATGCAAGTCAGTACCTTTAGGTTTTCCAGACAAGAGGAATAGGATTACTTTAACTGTTTTGACTGTGAAATTAATTTGGCCCAATGTAAAAAAATGGGTGGGGGTGGGGGAAGAGAAGTAATAGAATTTATTGAATATCTGAGGTGTAATCTTTATATGGAATTCTTCTGAATGTTAAATGCACCAGTGAGCTCTTGCCACCAACCGAACGTCCTCCTCTTCTGCCACCACCCTGTTCCCCGCTACACAGATGCACATACCTAAATTACATATGTGGTAACAATATATATATATATATATATATATATTATATATATATATATATATATATATATATATATATATATATATATATATATATATATATATATATCTTATGAGCATTTATAGTGCTTTACACTTGTTGAGTGCCATCTCTGTAAACAGCAGACCTGCATGACAGAGAAAAGTTGCCTGAAAAAAATGGCCCCAGCACCCCTTTGGGCTTTCCTAGGTTGATCGCATGTTTCGTGGCCGGGAGCTTCAGCATAAAAAAGTCAAGGTGTTCAGCATAAAAAATTAGCCCAGGCAGATGTGCACAAGGCACCTGAAACCACCAGCGTGCCTGAAGCATCTTATAATTGCTTAAACAACGTTCATTTCTCTAGACATATAATTGCCTCTAACTAATCACAAACAATTTGCTAAGTAATCTGCTGACAAACAAATAACCGTGTTGATCAACATTTTGAAACACGGCTGCTGTACACATAATGATCAGAGCCCGATACGTTAGAAATCAGACGTCTCACCGGACGAAAATAAATGATTAACAATCTGCTATCGATAAATAACCCCACCGTATTCAGAGCGTGAATTCTTAGGTGCACTGCGAGTACATAGAAAAGCGGCCCGATTTGAAGACTCACTCAGCGAGGACGCAGCTGTTGTGCTGGCGTTACGAAACACCTGCTAAGCGAGCGTGAAACATTCACGCGGTTGTTATGCTGGCTTCAAGCAACCTTTCGCTACAGGGTATTGTGTCTGAGAGTTCAGTGGACACGATATCGCTACATTTTGAAACAATAGGATCAAAAAATGTTTACGTGTTCGTGCGAAGAAGTGCCTGTGCATTAGCACTACGGATGTTCAGTTTGGGTATTTTTTAGAAACATGTTGGCCAGCGAAAGGGTAACTTGCGTTACTAGGACGATCATTCTTTGTTTTCAACAAAACTTTTGAGGTATACATTTTATCTGGCCCGAACAATTTATCTTTACTGCACTTTCTTTCATTGCCTAATATAATATTTCTGGCGCAGCTCAGACAAGGAAAGAAAAGGAGGAGACAGGAGGGGGCGCCTGAATTCGTGAACGCACTGGAAATGTCACGTGGCCAAGAATGTATCTATGAAGTGCAAACTTTCAATTAAAAAAAAAAAAACTAGTTGCTAGACTGGTGCCCTGTCCTGTTTCTTTCATTTTCTGAGTTGCACTGCAAAACGTTATATTAAGCGGTGAATTGTCAACTCGCCCAAGAAACTGCACTCTTAAGCTTTCTTTTAATTTATCGTTCGTCGGCTGGTTTGTTAGAGATCACCATCAAAACAACTTGCCGAGGTTTAATCTTTCTACAGCAAGCCAAATGGAATAGGACTGAATTTCAGCATTGGGCGCTGCTACTGCAGCAGCTGCAACTTTTTTTGTAATTGTTTTAACGACGTTGCGAAGTTTAGTCCTAATAAATGTGAAGCATTTGTTAGCGAACTTGGGCGACTTTTAGCGTATCTATCTATCTATCTATCTATCTATCTATCTATCTATCTATCTATCTATCTATCTATCTATCTATCTATCTATCTATCTATCTATCTATCTATCTATCTATCTATCTATCTATCTATCTATCTATCTATCTATCTATCTATCTATCTATCTATCTATCTATCTATCTAGACGCTTACGTTTGGGTGCTCTCGTGGCCACCTCTTTAACTTGGCGTGAATCAAAATTAGCATGGGAGGGTCAGATGGTTTGACGGATACGCTGGTCTAAACATGAATAATGTCACGATATCGTCGCGTACGTCCTCAAACACTTCCCGCCAGAAAGGGGGCACATACCCATGGGCGGGTATGTGCGGCTGGTATTCGGATATGTGCCACAGGTGATTGACACTTATTATCTACCCAGAAACGACGAGAATACACATAGGCAATTTTAACGCGCGAGCGTTAAGAAATACCCGAGATCGGTAGCGTCGACCCGACAAATGCAAAGAATAATTGTCAGGGACCGAGCTGGATTCGACCCCAAGCATTCTGCGTGGGCATTAATGAAGCATTTTACCAAAGAGCAATGCCAGGTCTCGGAACTACTAATCAAATAAACTCTAATCTTCGTGAAACGTCAATATTGGCTGCCGTGCTGCCTACCCAATTTTCCAACATTACATATGTACTCCTCTGATACAGCCGCACTTCGGGTTAACGTCAATTGTGGTTAGTTGCCATGCACTGAAGTAGATTTATGTAGCAGTGTCCAGAGCCAGCATCCTCGCGAGCATCACTGCTTCATATCAGATTCTGGTGTTGCTAATACGCAAGCTCCAGTTCACAGTGTTGCGCAAGTGCAAACAACTGGTTATATAAACAACTGCAACTTTTCAAAATAAGTTTGTACGTGCTATATTTGTACATATATTTAGCGTCATTTCACGACGTGTGGCTCAATAACAAAATTGCAACAGTCACATTCTCTTTGCACGCTTTGCATAATGTCAGTTCCCATGTACGTGGGCTCTGCCAAATTTTATTCTCAAATAATGTTTGTATATTCAGGGCAAGCGAGAATTAGATCCTACAGTAAGCAACAAATGCAGAATCGTTTGTTATTTGTTGCGCAAATATATTACGTTGAAAACGCCAAACTTATGAAACGAATAAGGTTATTGTGTTAATTATACAGTGTCTAAGCGAAACAGTACGCAAACTAAAAGATGACGACATAGAAGGTAAGGATAAAGGATATCAAAAGTACACGCACGCTACATCTACCACACAAAGTATCTGTGTAGTCTTATTTGGTTTTCGGAAAAGCACTCTTCCTTACAGTAGAAGCCTGCAAGCAGAAACAGTGTGTATTCGACTCACTGTCTATGTAACATTCTTTCTAACGAGTGAACACGAACTAGGACTTGTTGACCTATAGGATACATGTGCAGTGGATTCTTGATTCAGTGAAAACACCCGGAGCTGACCCGTTATTTCTTGATTCCGATGTTCCGTGGTAGCACTTGATCATCGGCGATATTATCCTTGATGTGTGTCTTGGGTTACCTTAGTGTTTTGAGGCGCTGCTGAAGTGGTTCCCAGAAGGCAAGTAGAAAAAATCCCGTAGTAAAGATCTGTTTTACCAACTGTCGCGAAGGTCACAGCTCCTCAAATGGAAACCGCGTACTATTTCATTCAACTAGTTGAAATAATTTTCAATAGCTATTCTGACAGTTATATGGTCCCCATGAGTATTGTTGCTTCCGTAATCCAGTTTCATGTGTATAACGTTTTACTATTAAATTTAACCAGAACCATCGATATGATATCAGTTTTTTTCAAGACTTTTCTGAACACTGGGATTAGTACTCAGACGGAATTGGTTGAAAAAGAAACAAGGATTTCACTGTACTGATGTTGCGGAAAAAAAAGAGTGCGTGATCTTCTTGACGAAGAAAAAATAATAAACTTGTTCTTGAACTTTGCTAAAACATAAGAGCTAAATGGGTGAATGCATGGTATTATGAAAATTAAACTAAACGACGTTAAGGAATGTATTGGACGTTATGTTCAAAGTAATTGTACTGTAAATAAATGTCAAAAAAGAAAAGTGGACGAAAAGATAACTCGCCGGGGGCAGGGCCAAACCTGCCGCTTTCGAGTAAAATGTCCGACGCTCCACCAACTGAGTATAAACGGCGGCGGCAAACTCCCCCCCCCCCCTCTCCTCGTGGGCCTTATACGGTATATATGGGAATATAAACGTGGGGCCGTTCGTCATTGCCGCTTTAGACGTCGCAGCGAGAGGGAAACACTTCTTTGACCTGTTATCGTCACGTAGGAAGTGAACTTAATACGAGCTGGCCGCTGACCCATTATATCTAGCGCGTTACCTAAACGTATCGTCTTACAAAAAGAGACCCTCGCTATGAAGGAAGGAAACTGTAAGTTGAAGAGCTCCTTTTTTTGTTTAACATATTAGTCTTAAGAGATAACAAATAATGTAATAGAATGTATAAGGTGTCCCTCTGCCCTTGTGACAATATGACGTGGTTATGTTTTAGGCAACTGGTCGCCCATCAATACAGCTCATCGCATCTCTTAACGCATCAGCTATGATGAATCCATCTACCCTCCCGTGCCCGCACTGCCACGCATCTTCAGTAATTCATTCTCAAGACTGAAACCAGATAGAACAATCTTCCCCCAGACATCGTCTTTCACATCAGCCATTACTCATTTCAAGAACTCCATTGAGTCACGCTTTGTAAATAATAACTAACGTCTTTGTTTTCCCCACTTTTTATGTAAAACCCTGTGATGTGCACAGGGTCCTAGAGAATATTTTAAACAAATCAATGAATGAATATTACAAGTAACTGCAATGCAAATGTAAAAAAAATGAAGCTGGACCTAAAGATGACTTGCCACCGGCAAGGAGCAAACCTGCGACATTCCGGTGGTAATTGCGACATGAGTTTGCGACGAGAAAAGATAAAACATGTATGTCTCTTACAGCTTTCACGTCTTGTGACAAGGAGAACCGCGGATCATCCTCTATTGGTAGCTCTACTAAGTTAAATGCACTCGCCACAGAACAGAGAGCGAGTAGTACGAGCATGGTCATGATGTCGTGCGTTCCGGAGCACGATACGAACTGATCTAAAAGTGCTGGGGAAAGAAAAGGCATCACCATGCACTAAGCCCAGAGCCTACCACTGGAATTTATTGTAATACTGAACAATGAGCAGAGAGGAGACAATCGCTTGCTCGCAATTGCGCTTATTCTTGGGAACGGACACAAACACCTGCACTACGTAAATATTACATCGAGGGAACTACAGTCGAATAATATGGCGCATATGTAGAAGTAAGAATTAAAGGTGATTGTTTGTGGGGCTCGATGACTCGTCATCAGAGCGAAAGCTGTTTTGAGATCACAAATGCCGATTCCCGTGCCGTAGTCGTCCGCCACGACCGCTGCCGATGTGCTTAACTACTGTCGCACGAAATAAGTACGAAAAAGAAACATATATGACCATTTCGTCATAAGAATTGGTATACCACGAAAGTGAAATTTGTTCTCACAGAAGTGGATGAATGATTACCGTACATTTCTACAAGAGAGCTTACACAATGTCCTATGGTGTTTCACGGTTCAACGGAAACGCACGCTGACGCTTACTGATAAATCTTAATTCCAACGACGAATGTCAGCGATCAATTTTTAAAGAAACCATTGTTGTCATAGATGCTTGTTGTAGATGCAACAGTAGACGGTGAGAAAAGAATCAGAGCAAGCGGTATGACAGCTAGAAGAGCTGTTACTTAATGGACACCGAACTTGGTCTAAAGTCACGTACTCGCAGCATAAGAAACGCAACACGCATAATGTCTATGCTCCTGGACGGCCGCGATATTTCGCAGAGTGAACGTAAGTGGAAAACGCTGAATTACAGCCGGGCCACAAAAAGCTCTAGTGGCTTGCCCTGCCGACGCTGACACCGGACACCTCACCTGTAGTCATAGTAGCCCAGCCACCTTTTACTCAGACGTGTTTTATGCCAGGGCGCACAAAAGCCTTAGTGACGCATTTCTGTCACGTATATGACGTTGCAAAGTAAACGTTATAAAACGAAAAAAGAAAAAAAAAACATTGCCCCTAATCTGCATGGTACACTGCAAATGCCGAAACACGATAGTCTTGCGCCTGAAGAGAATGAACAAAACGTTTGTTTGATGTTCTGCGCAAGAAAATCGGTGAATGGTATTCTGGAGGCTATGCGTTAGAGTGCCTCCATCGTATAGCCGAGGCGAACAAGCACATTGAGGCATGCTAGACACGAGCGCCATCCGGCATTTATCTACGAAAACAAAGGCGGGCGCGCCCGCGGAGAAAGATGCGCGCCAGTCTCGGAGGTGATAAGGTATAGAACGCAAAGCAGCGGGCAGGCGCCCCCACCATGTCCTGGTAGCAAAGCGTCGGAAACACTTACCTTTTTGAGCATCGCATTGTACTGTCAGCGCAGCACGATAAACGCTACAGACAATAGAGTTACTTGTGTGTGCCTCATCTAGTATAAAGGCACACTTACAAAACGTCGACGTGCTGTTATGACGCCTCCGATATGCGCAACAATTGCTTTTAAAGACGATAGTCTTTCTTGGGGACCTTTGACGGAAAAAGTTTAGCCTGTCTGTCTGTTTATCTGTCTGTCTGTCTGTCTGTCTGTCTGTACTTTTGTCTGTTTGCCCACCCTAACGATACCTCAAACAGCACCGAACGGTCAAACCCATCCGCAGCGCCCACCAATATTGATCAAGGCTTAGCGTTCATAGTTGCGTGATTGTCAATAAAAAAAAGCAAATATTGCGGTTATCAGAGGCGCCATAACAACATGTCTATGTTTTGTATGTCTGCCTTTATACTAGAAGAGGACACACACAAAACGCTCTAAGGACTGTAGCGTTTAACGCGCTGCGCTGACAGTGCAACGCGATGCTCAAGAAGGTGTTTCCAACGCTTTGCTACGACGGCATGGTGGTGGCACCTGCCCGTCGCTTTCCATTCTACACCTTATCACCTCTGTGACCGGCACGCATCTTTCTCGGCGGTCGCGCATGCCTTCGTTTTTGAAGATAACTGCCAGATGGCGCTCATGTTTAACGTGCCTAGATGCGCTTGTTCGCCCCCGTTAGACACTCGAAGCACTCTAACGCAGCGCCTTCAGAATACGATTCACCGATTTTCTTGCGCAGCACATCAAATAAACGTTTTGTCCACTCTCTCCGGACGTCGTCTTTCGCCGACATTTACAGTGTAACATGTAGATTCGGGCCAATTTTTTAATTGACAATCGCACAACTAGGAACGCTGAAGCTTGAGCAATGTTGGTGGGCGCTGCGGATGTGGTCGGCCATTTGGTGCCGTTTGAAGTATCGTTAAGGGCGGACAATCAGACAAATATACAGACAGAAAGACAGACCAAAACTTTTGTGTCGAAGGTCCCCAAGAAAGACTATCGTCTTAAAAACATTCAAGAAACTGTCCCCTCCCCCCCCCCCGCCGGGTGTCAAACCTGGGAATTCTTTGGAAACGACGAAGAGCGCCCGGTGATCTTCCGATTGAACTATTAAGGCCTTTTTTTATGTGGTGACTTTCTTTTGCACAACTATTGTTCGTGATCAGTTGGCGGAAATATTAACGAATACGTAGTGTACTTAGTAGGCATGGTGGACTGACATGTATATTTTCGAAGTAATGTGAAGGCTGATCAATATATCTTTTATCGTAAGGCGCTCCGTCGTCTTCATTGTCAGGCATCAAGCGGTGAACATTATATGGCCACTAACGTCACCTACGAGATTATTACAAGGTTATCGTGAATATGAGAAATTATACGTTTCCTTGTAAGATTATTGGTGGAGGTGCGGGGTAGGTTGACCTGGCTCTCCCGGCCAACCAACACGGAATTTCGGAGTGGTCGCCACCTTCATTTTCCTGCAATGACTCGACAGGCCTACCGATAAGAGCAACAACAGCCGCAGCAACAGCAGCCGCAGCAGCAGCAGCAGCTGCCTCCTTTGATACCCCGCACCTCCAACATTAATCTTACAAGGAAACGTGTCATTGCGGATATTTACGATGTTTACTTGCGATGGAAATGGCTGACACACTGGCGGGCTGGGACCACTCTTTATCCACTTTGTAGTCTTTTCTTCCAAGCAGAGACCCTCTACCGCTTTATGCCCCAATCCCACTACTGCCTTGTGTCACTATGATAGTTCTTTGCTGATGGTCGCTACAAACCCCTCTTTTGCATCACGTTTTTAACTTCTAGAGTTTATGGAGCTTAAAGAAAAATGATTTTTAACTAGAAAGGACGGCCATTCTTTTTATTCGGGCCAATGCAATTTGGCCATGTCCAGCAGCGTACAAACTCCTGTGAAGTCGTACCGGTAAAACAATATCGAGAAGGTCCCTCTACAACCTTTTTAGTTTTACTCTGGTGAGATACTGGCTAGAAAGATGTGCCAATGAAAAATTGCATGCGCCGACGACTTCTTTTAAATAACATTTAAGCGCCCCGTGTGCGTGATGCGAGGTGACAGAAAGGAAAGGAAGAACTCTCCCAAGCCTCAGCTTAATGACTGCACGTGGAAACAGATATCTTGTGTCTCACAGAAACTTAAAACGACTGAAGACCTGCGTTAAAGCGAATGCGACACACTGAGAACACCAAACCGAACACTTCGAAAAAAGATTAGTGCATCTCGATAATTCCCGCACTGATCCGCATACAAATACTGCAAACACGCAGCGCAGCTTCTCCACACAAGGCTATTGCTTAACTGTGTCACACATACCTTTTCGCCGTTGTCTATCACACATTCTCTCTTACTCCGTGATCTCTGTTGGCGAAACGGGGCGGTGCCGCCGTGTGTGAGTGCTGAAGAGAAGAAATGCGGCATAACGCAGTTAAAATATGACGTCCGCGATGGTGCGGTTGCACAGCCTTGTAGGCCATGAGTAAAGCTATTTGGCTAAAGCTTTTCGGTAACTGGGAAATAGACTGACCGAGCGAGCATCAGAGTCGCCAACGCCGTAATGTTCTTTGCCCATTGCATTGACTAAGCATGTGGCAACTCGTTGTTAATGTCGCGCCCCTTCCGCATACACGAACAATGTTTCACCGCAGACTTCTTTGATTGTGATAACACTGGTTTACCAAAAAATCACAGCATATCCTAGGAGTAGATGAGGATGAGTGGGACGAAGCGTCCGTGTGTCTGTTCGTATGTCCATGTGTCCATCCATGAGTACGTGGTTCCGTCCATGCGTCCATCTATCCAACCGTGCGTCCGTCCGTCCATCTGTCCGTCCATGCGGTCGTCCATGCGTACATACCTCCGTCCGCATGTGCGTATGTCCATCTGCCTGAATGTCTGTCCATCCGTCCGGCGTCCTCCGTTCATCTAGTGAACACTCCAAGTACCACCATCCCGCATCTTTTGGCCCTATATTAATCATCTAGAACTACCGCCATCCAGCGGACATTCCAAAGACTAAACGAGAGGTGTATACCTACTACTACTACATACATCGAGGACGCACGACCCACAGTTTAAGGAGCTTCGCCTCTAAAATGCTTCAGAGAAAGTGCTTTTCCAGCTTTCGCTTTTACTGTGCGGCGCGTTTCGCACAAGTCTGGTGGTTTTGCAGGAGCGAAGCTCTTTATAGCGGCACCCATTCGTCTCATAGCCGTTGTAGTGTGTAACAAGTATAACATTTTGACCTACAAGGTGATGCCGGTGAGAGATTTTTTCTGTGCGTTGTTGAACAATGAAAAACAGTGCTCAATGTACATGCCAATGACTGCTAAGGGGGAATGAGGGACAGGAGCATTTGGCTATTAGTAAACGCGCACGCTGCGATCCCCATTAGCAGCCATTAGCATGTACACTGAGCACTATCTGACAAGAAGGGGTTGCTAGGTTATACTCGCTGGGTGTAATCTCCTTAGTTTTAGAAAGGTTTAGCGAGCGTTGAGCTGCAGTGCCATTAATACAATGAACTAATATATACCATGAACTCTAGGTGGTTAAAGGTGGAAAGTAGATACGAAGCGCAAGCCGTAAGAAAGTAAAAGCCGAATGCTCCTGTCTCTCATTTCCCATTAGCAGCCATTGGCATGTCCATTGAGC